ACACGCACCCACACACAAACATACAAATGTGCTTTCGCAGACACACACGCACACATGCCCACAAATACACACAAGCATGCATGCCCATGCATGCACACACCCACACACACACCCACGACACGCCTGCACAACACACACACACAGACATATGTTGGAGAGCATAGTATGATGATCCATATCATGGTAACAACATTCCACCTGGAGAATATTTGATCCATATCATAGTACCAGCATGGCCATTAGGGCTATCAGAATCCCAAAAATAATTTGGTGGGAGAAAAGTCCCACCAAACATATAACTAATTCAATTGTACAACTCTTCATCATGCCCGACTCATTGTTTGGACAATGATAAACCCTTTTGACCATAGTATTGTCATGACTATGGGGATCATACCATGCATTTCCAACCTCTGTCCTCCAACGCCTCCCCCGACCCCCCGGGGCAGAACTTACCCACCCACCCACCATAATGGCACTCACCCCAGGGAAAAGCATGCCTATCAAGCGGCTAGCTTTATCAGAGACCGATAGAAGAAGGGTCTGCGACTGCAGTTGAATGACTGCACACTGACACAATAAGAAGGAATAATCAAACCGATGTGATGCACATTTTCTTCTGAGCAGTTCTTAATACAAAGTATCACAATTAAAATTGGACAATTGTCTTAATGTAATATTGGATCATCACATTTGAGTAAGCTAGGTTTCCATTAAAAAGAAAAGGAACTTGGGTTGTAATCCAAAAAAAATATTGGGCCTCATTAAAAATGGGTAACAAACATCATGTGGTTATTATGCAACTGAACGAGCTTATCTACCTCAAGAAAAAGGAAAAGAATCCGACAAGCTTCAAAACAAACCATAAAATGAAGCATCCCTTCAGGAACATGAACTCCATGGAGTGCACAAATGACACCATCAAGCCCAGGTTTTGCCCTTGCTTAGATATTATGTGGACACTTACAGAAGAATGAAAGAAAGTGATCTACTAGGACTGATACATTAATAACAAAAATGTAGTAGTACGAGGAAACTACCCTAATGGGTAATATGACAACTAAATACACCACAACAATAAAAAATCAATTAAACTACGCCTACACATTAGTCTACTGTAATATTTCATTCACCAAGAGCATTATGTTAGAACTGAGGGATAAAAGAACACAAAGCAAGATAGCAAGATAGATTAGAACTATCGTTAAATAAACCAGTAACACAGCACAAAAATGGATTTCAATATAACTACAACGGCAGATGTTCCTTCAAACTCACGAGTTTTTTTTCTTGTAACTGATCAAGAAAGCCATGTCTATTCAAAGCTCGGAAAACTAGGAAATCTGCCTTTCCAACGTATTGCCTGAAATCAAGTGGAAACAACAAGTGAGAAAGAAACAATAAATGACAGACAGACAAAAGGATGAGATAGGTCACCCAGAAAAATGGAAATGGCATATGGCCAGGAAGTAGGTGAAACATTACTTGTTATTCATGTGATCCTGAGATATAAGGCGCATTATTTGCATTGCTGGTGGCCAGTCTGCTGCAAGTCTGCAGATAAACCAACAAATCATAATGCCACATATACATCATAAAGAAAAGGCTGCAAGCATGACATTAATCAATTCCAAAATATTTGAATAGTTAAATGAATAGCATGAAATATCTTTGGAAGAGAACTTTCAGAACCTATGACGCACGGATACTTGTATTTACATTCTATACAGTTATTTCATTTTATATACTTGTAAAATATATATACACATCAATGTGTTGATGGATATACTCCCTCCCTCACACAAACACATACTCACACACATATACATGTACATATACATATATAATGGATATACTCCCTTTTGTTTTTACACACACACACACACACACACATACATAGACATATAAATATAGGGAAAGTATATAATGAGACCATTTACCATTGGTACAAGGTGGTCACAATTAATCTTGACTATTGGATGTGAAATTGGGTGGCTGCATTTATTTCATTGACCAAGCTCGAAGTTCAAAAGAAATTTTCTGGAACTATGTGACACATCCAAGTTATCAAATTTCACATCAGAGGGTTGTAAGTAATTGTGACCTCCCTGTACAAAATGTAAATGGTCTCATTATATACAATCCCATAAATATATACTATATGTATGTACACACACATGTACATTTATATATACATATACATATACATAAACACACACATACATTATATATATACATAAATAAAATGGTATCCTGCTTAGAATACCATGAGCGATCACCATCGAGACAGAATAAGATTTCTAAATCACTTCGGGTTAGAGGGGCCTTCAAGCATCCGAAATACGCCGGAGTTGTAAATGACATAGCGTTCTTGTATATGTACATAAACACACACATATGTATGTGTGTATGTATGTAAACTCCATATCCGTAGTGTGCCTTAGATCACGTGCAAGAGCTTATGGATGAGAAGATTAGGGGCTTATTCTTGAGCCCCATAATTGGCACCAGACACATTAGATCCAAGAGATCCAAGTTATAAACCTATTTGGATCAATATTTGTTTCACCCCAGTGGGATGACCACGTGTTGCCTCCACTACCGGCAACCTGGAATAGCTCCTAATAAAAATTCCATGGCGACCATTGTTCAAAAAAACGGACCGCCCAGCGCCTAGGCTGTCCAGAAGGCCTGGGCGCATCACCCAGGCCTAGGCGGCCAAACTGAGCGGTGGTCCCTGGGCAACCGCCCAGAGGCAGAAATGCTTTTTTTTGTTTTTTGTTTTGATTTTTTTTAAATATATAAAAGGTTAGAAGGAGGGGATTTAGGTTCATTTGAAGCCTAAACCCACAAGAACCCCTTTTAGAGAGAAAGAAACCTCCAGAAAACTACATTTCATTGGATTGAAGTGTCTCAAAGTTTGGAGTTTGAGCAATCAAAGTGCAGAACTTTATTTTTTAGATTGATTGTTTTATTTTGAGATGTCTTCTTCAGGAGTTACTCGAAGTGGAGATCCGAGTTGGAAATATGGATACAACCAGAATCCAAATGACAAAAATTGCGTTAGATGCAATTTTTGTGAAAAAGATACAAAAGGAGGTATAAACCGGTTTAAGAAACATCTTGCAGGTATTAAGGGGGATGTTGCCCCCTGTAAAAATGTTCCTGAAGCTATCAGAGAGGAGATTAAGCAATATATGAGTTCTGAAAAACAAAAACAGGCACAAAATCCTGTCAGATCTATTTCTGCTGCTTTTGGAAGAAGTGATCCGGGTTGGAAGTATGGGTACAACCCAAAACCAAATGATAAAAATTGTATAAGGTGTAATTTTTGTGAAAAAAGTACCAATGGGGGTATTAGCTGATTCAAAAAAAACCTTGCTGGTGTTAGAGGAAATGATGCTTCTTGTATAGAGGTTCTTGAAGCAGTTCGAGATGAGATTAGACATCTTCTGAATTTAGAAGAACCAAAAAAGGTTGAAAATAAGCCTTGTTCTATTAAAGTATCTTCTCCAAGTTCTAGTCGGAGTGGTGATCCGGGTTGGAAGTATGATTATAACCCGAATCCAAGTGATAAAAATCGTATTAATAATTATTGTGGAAATGATACTAATGGGGGCATTTACTGGTTTAAAAAACACCTTGCGGTATTAAGGAGGTGCCCCGTGTAAAAATGTTCCTGAGGCTACCAGGGAGGAAATTATATAATATTTAACTTCAGAGAAGCTCAAAGAAAAGGGTAGAGTAGCCAAGACTCCTAGGGCCTCATCTGCACAAACTGTACATACTAGTAAGAAGAAGGTAGAAGAAGATGAGGAAGAAGAGGCAGATTAAGAAGAAATACAGGAGGACAAGCATTATATTGAAAAGGGAGATGACTCTAATGATGATGGCCTCAACTCTGATGCATATAATGAGGCTTGCCCTATTGATATTCCTTTTGATGATGATGTGGTGATGATGACGACTGAAGACTCTTGCCTCTTAGTTCTGAGTGCTGAGTCTTGACTGTTGTGCTGAGTCATGAGTGTTGACTTTTGTTAGACCGTATATTTTCTAATTTATGTATATTTCTGTTGTGTTGAGTGTTGACTTTTATATCCTACACTTGTATGGCTTTACAGTTTACTATTTTAACAATATGGATTATCAAAATTCTCTTCTCGACATCTATCTTTTTTTTTTTCAACTTGGAATATGGTATTTGGTAATTTGATATTTTTTTTCAATTGGGCAGCCGTTTAGGTTTTGGGCGCCCGCTGGGCGGCCTGGACCCCCAAGGTCGCCTAGGACCCGCCTAGCGCTTTTTGATACACTGATGGCGACTTTATTGCGAGTTATAATGCTTGTCCACTTAAAGAACAATTGTTGCATAGTTGTAAATTTTGTGCGACGGATCCACTTTTGTGCATTAGCAGATTATTCTGCTGTTTAGAAGGATTGTTTAAAAGCACATCAAGTGTCACTCAAATCCTTTGGAACCCAACTTCAGAATGGCCTGGAGTGTTCCTATGGGGACCCAGCTGGTTACTGGCCATACATATAGGTGACTACTTGACTCCCAGCTGAGTTGGCCAAGACTCTCGCCAAGTCCAACCATATTTTTTATATTTCATTTTGGTGGAAAAAAAACAAGAAAAATATACCATATTTGAACAGGTGCTATTAAACCCTCCAATTTCATCTCAAGGGTCTGTTTTTCAGCCCAATACCAAATTGCTAGACCAGATTTACGAAGGATAGACTTTTGGGAGAGGGAACAAATTTTATAAACAAGGTTTTAGGCTTCTTAGAGAACTTGATTTTGTAAGTCAATTTTATCTCTGCCCCCAAAACACGGGGAGAGAGGGAAAGAAAAAAACAATCTATTCATCCTCAAAAAAATCCGATCCCATTTCTACTTGTCTTCCAAAAAAAAAAAAGAAACACCCTGTACTTTCCTTCAAAGAGAAAAGGAATAAAAAAACACATACATACATGCATGCCTTTATATATAGTGCGACTTGTATAGGGTGTCAACCTTAGCAAACAAAGCACGACGCACCTCTAAATATTCATAAAAGATGCAGTCTTGGTGCCATAAACCCTTAGAATGGCCTAGAAATCCATTTCACACCTAATCATGAAATTAAAAGCTCCAAATGTGGTATAGATCAAGCAGATCTATCACTTCAAATTTTTGAAAATGGACGGTCTAGATAATGTGTTACAAGATACACTATTAATCTTTTCTTTCCATATCTATACATCTCAAGTCGAGATGATCAATTCTCAGGTTCTTTGACATAGGGACAGTCTTTTCAGGTGGATTGTTGAGGTGCACCTTACTTCTACAACATAAGGTTGATATTTGACTTTTTGCACCAAGCTTAATTGAAATGGTTTATTTTTATTTGATTTTCTTGTTTGCTTAGTGGCATCTTATTAAGATTGGGAAACCCAATCTTAGTAAAATCTCTTAAACTTAATCAAAATGGTTTGTGCTTAGTGCCATTTTATTAAGAATAGCATTGTATCAAAAGTAAATGGTCTCATTGTGTGTGTGTGTGTGTGTATAATATATATATATATATGAAGAGTCCACGCAACGCGTATGGGCGAAAATGAACAGTGTTTTCGCCCATAGGCTTGGTGTCGTCCGATTGTTTTGGACGTCGTGGATTAAAAGGCCGCAACGGACATAGCATATCTGCTGCGGTACCGCAACGGACACGGTCAATTTTTAACGCAAAAAAACACAAGATTCTGCCACAAACATAGCATGTCCATTACGATTTCCGGTAAAACTGCAACGACTCTATGAGAGCCGTTGTGGAGTAAAACACTATTACAAATTTGCCCATAGGGTAGT